TAGAAATTTGCCGGCTGCCTGACCTACGACAATTATCGGTTTTTGTTTTTATTTCTCATTCGTTTTGCTCTGATACGCTGATCTGATTTGTTTGCTGATTAGACTTGACGATAACAATCGCACTGTTACTCCGCTGTACATAATAGTACATAATATGTTTGCTTGAATGAGAGAAATTTTCTGTGTTGTGTGCAGGTTAGGGCCTACATGGCGTATGATTAACATCAATTGTATTTATTTGTTTACAATGCAGCGTGTGTGTGTTTGTAGGTAGGTATTACATAGTACATTTGTTTGAATCTGATTTGGGTAATTTATGACATCATTAATCTGTCATTATATTGCACTTATAATTTGATATTACATTACATTACCGCAYTTAGGAGGGATATTGAAGGTGGGTGTGTAATTTTTGATTGCGATATTGATAGTTTTTAATTTTAAATTGTAATTTAGCATTTTTTTTAATATCTTATGTAGAAAAAAAAACATTTTTTTTGGAAATTATTAGGTCAAAACTCATGCATAAAGTTATTAAGATATTTCAATGTGGTTCTTATATTAAAATATGTGGCATTTACAACATTCATTTATTCACATTGGCTCGAATTTATTAGTTTAGTATAAATATAGCTGTGAGGTACAAGAGTACATTTTAAACATTCGTCCTTGCCGCGCCCCATACAGGGACAGCCCCATGCGGAGATGCGGGTGTCCGATTATGCGGATAATCACTGTATTTACTAGTCCGCGTCAGATGGGTTTTTCACCATAAAGTTGAATTTCTCGTTTCGAAAATATACAAGTACTGTTTTAACTCTGTCAATTTACCGGGTTCTGAGTGAATCTAAGGTCTTCCCTGTAGTTCAATCTAATTTATCGTTTCTTCCCATAACAATTTACTATTGAAACACTTTACGTAAGTTATATGTAAATGTATATGTAATATAATTTTTTGATTTCATTTTATATATTTTTTCAACTGTTATGACTAAACTGTTAGATAATTTTAATTGCGTTTCCGCTTGATGCTATTTGCTGACTAAGTCCTATGACATGCATCTGTGTTCTTATGTATGAGATACATTCTGACAAAAAAATACTCGGAAATTTTAAATAACATGCAAAATATTTAATTATTCATCAATATTTAAATAAAAAGCAGTCTTTGGCCAGATAAAATCCGGTGCGTAGAACCGGATGCCATGGGAATTGCGTGGGTGTTTGGTCAGTGGTATTCATTGCCTTTTTGGCTTTAAAATCGGTTGCAATCGTACTCCCTTTGAAAAAAATTCAGTTTTATGAAACGAGTCGAGCAAGAACGCGTTTCATACCTGAAATATCCGTCAAAATCATTCGAACGGACTAGCGAGAGCCGCCAAGCTCTCTTGCCATATCTCTAGCATTAGCCTGACGATTTTCCAACACCATATCCTTCACTTTTTTTATTATTTCATTAGTGGCGGGATGCACACGAAATTTGGTTAGAAATAAAAAATTTGAAATAAATTTTTATTCGATATTTTTATTTCTAAAAATTGTAACACACTACTCAGTTATACCGACTTCAGCAGCTGCTGTGAAAAAGCCGGTTGACAGATCGCGCTCATATTTTGATCAGCCCTACTAACTTAACCAAATATATTTTTTTTAAATATCATTTACCCGACGAATTTAATTACAATTTCCGGGTGCTTTTGTCTCAATGTATCGTTATATATGGTAAACCGTGTAAACGTATAAAACCTGATTTTCGTTGGAATTCGTAGCTGAATTTAGCTACAGTAGATTTCCTGTATCTGATTACTCACTGTTAGACAAAACAAACAACATTTTTACTTATGCGTAAACATTTAATTTTCAAAACATCGTCTTTCGTATTAATAAGAATCAATTACAGTGAAACTTCAATAACTCGTATTTGCAAGAGACCACAATTTAAATACGAGTTATGGAGTTTTTCAAGTTATCAAGTTATACAACTTATAGAGGCAACATACAGAATATACGAATTATGGAGTTTTTTTTTTATTTATTTTTTCTATTTTACATAAAACACAAGAAATGATGTTAAAAACGTACAGTTTTTTGTGAAAAAAAAAAAATACGAGTTGTAGAGGCTTTTGATATACATTTTTCAATTTTTGTCTCAAGAAAAATACGAGTTATCAAAGGGACCGAAATACATGCATTTTTCGCGAATTTTTCTAGGGACCGAAGAAATACTATGAAATATCAAGGTTTTTCGCTTATCGAGGTTACGACTTATCTGTAATATGCTATTGTTTCGCTATTGCCTCGTGATATAAATATGTACAGTGAAATTCCTCATAACCAGGCATCTACCGCAGCAGTATTTTGTTCGTAAATCAAGTAAATTTCCCTGCGGTGATCATTTTAAGTATTGGTCTTAAAAAACTTTCGCACAACACCACAAATTAATATGAAGTAAAAGAAACGGGAACCACAAATTATGCATAATTTTCTATACACATTTTATGAAATCTTGTCCATTTATCAGAGATAATTTTAACGAAATGTCACCTAAATAGTGTTTGTGTCCAGTCATTGGAACATATAAAATAATGCATATTTTTTATTGAAAAATCTAATATGTAAATCAACGATGTATAGCTTAAAGTAAAATTAAAAATATAGACTTCGGTCATTTTAAAAACATATCTTCGCAGCGTTTTTACGTGTAAATCACATTTTTTGCATAAGGTACAAATGTTGTGGTTAGATCAATAGAAATATGATGCAACATTACTATAATTGCACTTCTACAGAAAACTGGAAAAATAGTACGCAGCAGAGCGATCAGTCGTGTCATATTCAAAGTAAATAGAAACAATAAACTATTAAATAAAATGAAGAAAAATTTATTCAACGAAATGCATAAACGAATAAAATATACCTTATAACTTCAACTATTCTTCGGTTGAAACTATTCACTGCCTTGCCTTCATGAGTTGCAAATTGCAAATCGATTTCCCAACATCCTTTCATCTCTATGACAGTACCCTCATAAAATCCGTGTGCCAGCAGCAACTACACCATTTAGATAAAAACCTCAACATTTTCATCATCATCAACTGTATTTTCAGATATGCATGTGTGAATGCACGAATAATCGCCAACAGCGTTAGCCGCCTTGTCGGCATCACATTGTTCACCAGAGGGAATTAAATACGATATAATAAATAATTGCCCGACAGGCCACCTTCATATACCATATTATTACTCATCTTGTACAAAATATACATTGCACTTGCACTTAATCCACGGCATTGCTGCGACAGAGTTCTTGGTGACAGTGCAATAACGGTTTGGCTGCCTGGAAACTGACAACTTTGCTTCAACTCAGCGTCCTTTGCCTAGCTGTCTTCTTCTGGTAGCGCACAAAGCTTACATTTTATTTTAGCTATGAAAACTGCATACTATATACATACTGCATATTTATACTAAATGCAGTTAATGCTTAGTATACATATCTGAATATACTATATAGTAAGCATATATTATACATACTTTCGGTATATGTACATACAAATGTATATATGCATATATATTTTTGCTATCTTTCAATTCTTCTGTGCTATTTGCACTCCCTTCCACCGATATGTAAGCTTAGATATTTTCAAAACTCCCACACATTTGTGAGGCTGCAGGGCAATATGTACATGCACTTGTAGCTGCCATGAGTTTGGCTGGCTGTCTGCCTATCGTCACTTCATCACTGTCAACTTCAACACGAGCATCGACGCCGGCACCTTAATTATAAATATGGACACATGTATATAACATTATATGTATGTTTGTATGCATAGATGTCTTATACATGTGAATGTTGCTCAGCTTCCATTAAAATGTATATGTATATAGTATTTACTTATGTATTTGTATATGTGCAAAATCCTATGTAAAATGTAAATTTATTGTTTTATTGCTTGTGCTGCAAGTAAATTTTATGTTATATGCTTGAATACATGCATTTACAATACATAATTGGTATGTGTATATGCATAATTCGTTATTGATGCTATAAGATTCTATTGCGAAGCCATTTTTCATTTTGCTGGCTCGTCTCTGTCGTTATCTATTCATGTGTGTATATACATATGTATGTACAGAGATGCCACTTATGTCAGAAATAGATATTCAAAATAAATTAAAATAAGACAAAATGTTAACTTCGGTTGCCCTGAATAGCACACAAATAAAAAAGTACCAACTTAAATTTGATCGATCAGTTTATGTCAGCCATACGCTATAGTAGTTCCATCTAAACAATTTCTATGAAAATTGTACCGATGTCTTGGACAATAATCCATTTGCGTGAATATATTTTGATAGTTCACCTTATATGTCATCTATATGCTATTTCGGTTCGATGTCGGCGGTTCCGACAAATTCGTAAATTCTTGGGAAGAAAACGACATGTGCAAAAATTCAGATCGACATCTGAAATCTGAGGACATGACTAAATCTAAGTCATGATCTTTCGCTAAGTAATTTCGTTTGATGCCAACACTTCACACTTATTCTCATTTCTCATTTTCAGCAAATTTTACTGTTTTACAATCAAAAGGGTAAAAATGTAGTTCAAGCAGGGCGAAAATTATGTGATGTGTACTGAGAAGATGTGTTGAAGGTGGAAGGCCTCTTGAAGCCGATGTGGATAATGCGAATAAAGGCGTTGGTCGATACAAACCGTCGAGAACTCGAGAGGTTGATCAACGAATCGTGTTTAAAATGCACCAAACAATTAAATTTCTTAGCGCACGACTACTCAATACATTTTATAGGGCCTTCGACGGTCGTCTGTGTTACAATCTTCATTTCAAACTTTCAATATCACGAAGCTAACATATAAAAAAGTCGAAACATTCATAAGATAGGGTGGAGTTTTAGAATACAAAAATGTATTATTAAAACCACATGTAAATACATTTTTATTAATTTCATATTTTTTTATATTTTATTTCTCAAAAATATAGAGCACGATGATTCGTGGTGCTAAAGCTGATGCGAAGCCCCGAGGCCGTATGACAGCGTACGCTTACTTTGTGCAAACATGCCGAGAGGAGCACAAGAAGAAGCATCCCGATGAGACAGTCATCTTTGCCGAATTCTCCCGAAAGTGCGCTGAGAGATGGAAGGTAAGTTTGCTTAAATTTTCCCTAAAAAAAAAATCATCAAAATCATCAAAGTCATCTTGTGTTAATTTGGTAAATTAAATAATCGAAGAAGAAAGCATAAATATAAACAAAATGTGAACGTTATATATCTTACTACATAAGATTTTTCGGCTTATGTTCTTTAAAATATTGACTCGGGGTTTTTAGGCAAATTTTGGCCTGGTTTTTAATTTCGAGAAGCTTTTTTCTAAGAAGGCGAATCAATTTGATCCTAATCTCCTTTAAACAGAAAACTTTAATTAGATAAAGTTTGCAAAGATCAGTCATGTCCAATACAGTTTAATTTACTACAAAAGAAATCTGCTATAATCGCTCAACAATGATCTAAACTTTAAATATAATACATTGAATTTCATAGAAAATACAATCTTAATGACACTTTAATAAGTACATTGCTTATCTATATAATTATGTGTATATATATTACCATGTTTTACCAAAAATGTGGACGACTACGAAGTACTTGCCAAAAGTTTTAAAGTACATGCTTATTAGCACCATAATTCAATTATTATTAATTGTGCCTACTCCAACAAGAACAAAAATGTTTCTTTTGTCAATCCTAGCAGATATGGGCGCCTGTCGCCACTTAACTTTGTTATTTAAGTACTTACGCTTTCATCAATAAAAATAAGTAAAAAGATTTGATGAAAAACGCCGAACAATGGTTGAAAGTGAAAGCAAGAAGAGCGGCACCCACTTTGCTTCAAGATGTCCTTGCCAACACTTTTTTATGATTCGATGTTGTCGGAATTCTTTTATATATTTTTTATTGTTGTTATACATTACTTTACACTGTATTATATACACACACACACACTCACCGCTTTGTACTTTATTTAAATTGTTTGTCGGCTTTTATACATTCAAACATACATATATGCATATTTGTATGAAAAGTCTGTGCGAAAAATAATGCAAAAACGTATTGCAAGAACGAAAGGAGTTGAGGGTGTCGAGTGTTGTATGTATATATGTATGTACATGCTTTCCCCTCATAAGCAAAAACGATTATAGTGCGTTCACCGAACGTCGACCGGTGAAAAAAACGGCATGAGAGGTGTTTTTAAAAAAATATATTTAAGTGGCTGCCGGCAGCAATGCAATAAAAACAAAAATGAATATAGAAAGAAAGGATGAATTGGTCCTTAAGTTGACTGCACAAAATAAAGTGAAAGAAAAAATAAATTGAAAGAAGAATTGCTGAAAGGGTAATGTAAAAAAAATACTGGTAGGACCCTGAAAGTCAAAAGGGCATAGGACGGGATGAAGTGTGATCGGCGATGACGACAGCGATGCGAGGCAGCAGAAGAGCTTTTAAAAATATTCTTGGTATACTAGTATACACAATACATACTTATATATGTACATACACATTCGCTTACTTGTGTGTGCAGGTGCATGTAAAATTATTTGGTGTGGAAGCAGGCGGCAACGCTTGGAAAACATGAATTCATTTAATGACGGAAATGCAATTCTGTAGATGCCCCTCACTTTTATTGCGCTCTTCTTATTCAGACGGTTCACACACTCTACACACATACTATATGAGAGTGTGTTGTTGACCGTCTGCAACATAACCATTTGCCTTTCAACATCAACGTCCTGCTGCATTTGAAAACTGTTGAAGTGTAGACTCGTCGCTATGTAAGGAGGACGATGACAACATCCATGCATAGCAAAGTTTTATAAAACCTAAAGATAGAACCGGGGAAGGATAGCTGTAGTTGGCGGGTTCACCTGTAGTTTACAAACGATATGCCTATTCGTATGGTTGATTTTTGTGAGCGAAGTATTTGGAAGTTCAAGAAATTTTATGGTTAGGTGGGAGGTTACGTAAAAGTGTGGATATTGAAAGTAAACAGTGTATATTAGCGACTTATTGTTGTGTAACCTAAATTTATAACATTCTGAGTTGCATTTTTGTCCATAACACGAAATTAGTAATACCAAGAGACCCTACAAAGTATATATGTACATACATGTATATAACTGGTCAGCATTAAGTGCTGAATAGATTTAGTCTGAATGTATAAAATTCGACATCGGACCTCTATTGCGTATATGTAGCTGCTGCTACAAACTAAAAACTCTTTTTTTGAATGTCCTAATCCGTTCTTAAGTCAGATGAAGCATATTCATATATTTAATTACTTGTTTTTTATGATTCCGTTTGGGATGCTGTGATTCGTATTTTATTAATGCAACATATACTATATAAGATATAAAGAGACAAATCTGCAGCGTTGCTTTTACTAATAATCAGTAATATGAAAGTTGTGCCATCCATATAGATTAATTTTTGTGTCACATTGCTTGCCGGATTTTATACATAAATACCCAAGTACGAATAGTGTAGCATATATCGATATATGTATATTGTTTTTGTACGTGTGTGTGTATAGGGTATTTTAAGGGTGGCTTTAACAACACATCACCACTGCTGTCGTCATCACAATCTGGCTTACACAAAAATCAATGCCAGAATGTTATTTTTCCACCCATTCTTCCACCACATTAAATATTTCTCTTAGTTTTGCCTTTCTCTCTTTTTACTGTACTACTCACTTATTATTTTAAAATTCTGCGCAATGGCATATGCTCTGTCCACCATCTTCTCCGTCGTTGAGGCAATAGCGAGAGGAAGTTTGCCACTCAAAAATCCAGCAATAACTAAGTCCTGCCCTTGTACCATATATAAAATATATACATATACCTGGGGTTTTTGCTGAATTTAGGTATATTAGGTATAAGTATATGCTATATAAAGTAATTGCGTCGTTTTCAGATTGCACGTAGTCCAATGGATCAAAGACTGTTACCCCCATGGTTTGGAAACCCTTTGCATTTAAAAAAAGTAAATTTTTATTTAATACATTTATTTTAAATCACGGCTTATGGTTTTGAAATTTCTGCAATGTAAAATGCAATTCAAAACTTATGTTCCGATTTTACAAATTTTCAAGTTTTTTTTAAATAAAAAAAATTAACAGATTTCTTTCACTATTTCTTAAAAGCTGATAGAAGTCCAAAATAATGTTCGCTTAAGCTTTAAGGTTTTATATATTTAATCTCCTGTTTTAAAATATAAATATATTTATCTGACGCCAACAAAAAAGAATAACATTGTTTTGAAAATTCGGAATAATTTTTATAAAGTCAATACTTATATAAAAAAATATTATATTTCAACCAAACAACTCTATTGACAGGTATGACAGTTAATCTGAAAGGATTCGCTTGAATTTGATGTTGTTAACAACATCATCAGACAGTGTCACATTTCATAAAAACATAAAAAGTTTATTCATACATTGAAGGTTAATTTTGCTAGAATCTGATATCAAGGGAAATACATGTAGACATACATAATACCATACATATTTGTTTGTGTGGCATTGTCTTTTTTTCACTTCAGCACTTTGCTTCATAGTTCGGTCAACTTCAAACGTCTAAGGTGAAAAGTGGGTGGATTGGGTGCCGGGTGGATTGCTTAAGTCCACTATATACTACATAAGTACATATTTATATCTAGGTATTTTGTACATATGTATGTATGTATGTAAAACTGCACATAACATGTTCAGGGGTCGCTCTGTTGAGTAGTGTCAGCTGGGGTTGCCACTGCGAGTGGTGGAAATTATGGGCTGGGTTTTTGGCTGGTTCTGTTGGTTTGTGTCGTTGTTCGTGGCTTTTTTTTTTTATTGGCGTTGAGACGAAAGAGGAAATTTAATGGCAAATAGTGTAATATGAAGCTTTCAGCTTTTGGCTTTAAATCTGAAAAAGAGCAGTTTTATAGCTAATCAAGAAATTAAAGCGAAATACGAACTGATTGTGATTCTAATGAATGACTTTTAAGGAGCTGATTAACGGAAAAAGTGTAAATTATGGTTGAATTAAGAAAAAAGTGACATATGCTAATACATTTGCTGCTTTTAAATGCGTATAAATTAGATAAATCCTATAGATAAACTGAAATATAAAACTTGCTCACACGTGACATGTCCGTGCCTCTATGACCACTTTCTTTTTCATGCGTTAATATGTTTCGTAGCGCTCCGCACAATTAATTTCCACAAACTACGCTCCTGACCATTAGAAATACCTTTTCCATGCCACATAACCCAACAAGATAAATTGAAAGGGTGGTGAAGGCAATTTATCCTTTTTAATGCAGAAAGCACATATTCGTTAATAAAACTGATGAGGCGATAGAGCGGATGTTACTAAGAACGTGCGCTGATTGTAAAAGCTATAAAATTTAACTTTGACTCCAACGACACAAGGATGAAATGGACGATAAGAGGACATGACTGTTGGCATTGCGTAGTATAAAATGAACTTTTCCAAGCAAATTAAAACTTGAATCATGCAATACTGCTGCTTTCGTATGCTGGTCAGTATAGTAGACGTGAAGGGTGCAATAAAGCTTCGATACTTCAATATATACATACATATGTACATACATACACATATGTATCAGCTAATTGAAAATATAAATTTATTCCTTAAAAACTAAAGATTACATACAAAAACTTAATTTTTATTTGTCAGCTTTCATCTACAGTAGGTAGAAAAAATAAGTTATCGAAACAACCAGCGCTGTTTGAAACGCTCTATACTTTTTCGCTTAATTGAATATAATTTGTTTTTGGTATATGTTCGGAAAGTACCGTTATCAAAGTGCCGCAATTATCAAGTGCCGAAAAAGTAAGTTTCCAAGTACAATAATTATTGTTTTTTCATATTAAAACTTGAAAATAAATTACAAAAACGCATAAAACGTGCAAGAATTGCTTATTTTACAAATTGTGAAATTGAAGTTTTCGTTTTTTTTTTAAATTTAATTTTTTGAAATATTAAGGCGATTTTTTTACGGTAAATTAAAGAAAAACTGAAAATGAAAAGTGAATTTAAATATTTAACGAATGAAGAATGTTCAACCATAATTAATTCGCATAAAGATGGTCATACGCAGCGTTGTATTACTGAAAAATTTAATAAAAGGAGGTGGCGATAAGGAAAGTTACTGTCGGCACCAACAAAGAAAATTGAGTCAACAGGAAGACGAAGCAAGGGCGCCCCAAAAATAACAACGTTGATAAACGAATTGTGGATATTTCCAATTCTGATCCCTTCAAATCAGTTTCAAAAATTCGTGCATAGCTTATAAAAGAAGGCATGAATGCCCCCTCAGTGCACACTGTCCTTAACAGATTGCGCCAAACCAATATTCACAGCCGCGTTGGAAGAAAGTTACTCTACATAAATGAAGCAAATAAAAAAAAAACGGCAAGCTTTTTATAAAGAGCACATATTAAAATCTTAAAATGTTATTCATAAAGTGCTGTTGACTGATGAATCGATGATTTGTCTTCGTTATTGCCTCTGTATGATTTAAGTTTGGTGCTCACCCGAACAAGAAGTATGATAGAAGTACACTCTACCCACAGTTAAGTCGGTGGAAATGGGCTTAATGCTTTGGAGATGTTTATCTGCGAATGGCCCTGGAAAAATTGTAAATCTGGAAGGAAGAGTAACTGCTGCAGTTTATTTAAATATTTTAAAGGAGCACGCTATCCCGGGGAGTCACCGACTAATTGGGGCGGATATCCTTCTTTAACACAACAATGCGCCCATTCATACTGCAAAAATCATCACAGAACTTTACAAAATGAAAATGTGGGTGTATTGAAACGGCCTCCTCAAAGCCCTGACTTTTCACCAATTGAAAAAGCTTGGGCAATCGTTAAATTGCGTATAACTGAGGAGAAACCCTAAAACCTGGTTGATTTCAAGAACTGCATCTATAACATTTGGAATAATTTTCCTCAAAATTAGTGTTTGAAGCTTGCCAACTTCATGAAATTACGATTAGGTCAACTAGCAAGACGTAATTATGAACATTGTGGATATTAAACAATTTGATAACTTATTTTTCCTACATGCAATTTACTGTATATGTGTATTTTTTCTTTTTATAAAAGCTGTGAACTTCTCTTTTGTTTTAAAATTACTTTAATTAGATACTTTGAAATGTGGTCTCAATAAAAAAAAATGTTTCATTTAAAAAATATAAACTATTATATATATATATATATATTTTATTTATTTCTCTGATTTAATTTCACTTTGATAACTTACTTTTTCTACCTACTGTATATGCTATAGCGGTCCGCCGATCTGTATAATTTCTTCAGAGATTGCCTTGAGCATCCATGTAAAATTTCGTGAAGATATCCCGTTAACTAAAAAGTTTTCCATTCAAAGACTGGTTTTTGATTGATCAAATTGTATTACTTGACTACGTCGACGCCATCGAACACTACGCCGACAGACAAGACAGACAGACTCGCCAAATAATAAAGTTTTCCATACAAGGATATATGGAGATATGCATGTATGTATATCCCATATTATTGGTCCGATACAGGCGATTCCGACAAATGATCAGCTTTTGTCGTGTGTAAAACTTCAGATCGATATGTCAAACACAGATGAGCTAGTTAGCTTTTAGTTGATGAACTAGAAAAATAAATTACATATTCCTGTTTTTGGTATTTGTAAAAATATTATTAGTTTTTATAACTGTTAATATTGTGGCACAATTTATTAAGTCGTTTGTTGTTGTAGCAGTATATCAATTAAATAGTTCTTGGGGCATACTAACAGTTATGTATCGTTCGTGTCGTTCACCTACAGTTTTAAAATATTTTGATTTTATTTACTAAAGAAACAACTTTGGTGGTTCTCTCCGATGTAGATATTGCATATTTTTAATTATTCCATCGTTTTCCTATTTTATACTAATTATTTTGCACATTTGATTTTTCAGACAATGGTGGATAAGGAGAAGAAGCGCTTCCATGAGATGGCCGAAAAAGATAAGGCGCGATATGAGATGGAGATGCAAAATTATGTACCGCCCAAAGGAACGGTGGTAGGACGTGGCAAGAAGAGGAAAATGATTAAGGACCCGAACGCGCCGAAAAGATCATTGTGAGTTCGTAGCTAACAATGCATTCATTAAACTTTTACAATTCACTAACCTTTCACCGTGGAATATAAAATCTAATTAAATGATATTTCTTTGAATATTTTAGATCTGCATTCTTTTGGTTTTGCAATGATGAACGTAACAAAGTTAAAGCTGCGAATCCAGAGTATGGTGTTGGCGATATAGCCAAGGAGCTCGGCCGTAAATGGTCTGATGTGGAACCAGAGGTTAAACAAAAGTACGAGTTAATGGCTGAGAAGGACAAGGCGCGCTATGAGCGGGTAAGTGTAACCATTTGCAAATCATTTAATTTGCTTTTATGGTGGAAAGCGGTCATGTAATGATTCAATATAATTACTTGTATTATAATAATATTAATAAATTGCAGGAAATGACCGAGTACAAAACTAGCGGGAAAATACCGATGTCCGCGCCTTCAATGCAAGCACAGCAGGCTGCAGCGCAGAAAGCAGCGTTACTTGCTGCAAGTTCGCAGCAGCATGAGGAGCATGGAGACGATGATGGCGACGGCGATGATGATGAAAATCAATAGATTTAAGCAAATACAAAATAAACAAAGAAAAAGTAGAAGGATGAGCATATAAGATAAAAAAAAAACAAAAGAAAAATAAACAAAAAAAGAAAGAATTAACAATTTTCCACTCAAAAAAGAAAATGGAACTTATATAACGTAATATTTAAGTGAATAAAACCAGAAATATTGAATGAGACATAGAAATCAAGCAAAAAGTTACAAATATTAAAACAATAAAACAGACGAGAATTAAAACAAAAGTAATGAAATTTAACAGGGAGATAGTACATACAACTATGTAAAATACAAAACGTAGTATATATGTATGCCGCAAATGAAAAATCAAAGCTAAAAGTAGTTGTAACTCCAGCAAGCACTATCAAGGAAATCCAAGCCACAATATGCTAAAAAAGTAACAATACTTTAAATCAACACTGCTTTTAAAAATCATGGCGGCACATACAACCGACACAAGTAGGTACATCATACATTCATTTGTTATTAAATTTTCATTAAACCATCAACCAACTGCATACGGTTTTTTAAACAGTGAAGACTCCAAATAATCTACTCCCCAAAACAAAAATTACTACTCATTTTAAGTGTTGAAATACACACAAGCGATCAACATAATAGCAAATATTAGAAAAAAAAGATACAACACAAAACAAGCATGACTCACCAATAATAGTTAGTTGACATCGTTTGAAGAGTAGAAATAGCGGCATCTTTGAATAATAATGGCAAACAACTCAGATACGATTATTTTATAATTAAAAATATTGTTTCGATTAATTTGATTTATTGTAACATTAGCAATAAATGTTAGGATTAAAGAGAGACACTCATAGTTTAGGGGCAAATAAGAAGAAAAATAAAGAGAAAATATAATGAAGAAGTCAATATAAAAGTGGCGTATGCGCTTCACTTAAAATGCCAACGCAATAGGATTTATTATTTTATCATCACACCGATTATTATTGGCAGTTATTATTATTATTTTTCAAAACTAGCATTTAATGTTGATATAAAACGAAATTACAAAAAAAAAATATATAAAAACACAAACAAAAAATAGAAATTCCAATTTTTCGTTGGTTTAGCGTGTAAAAACGAAATACATATTTTATATTTACTATTTCAAAATCATACAACATAAACATTTAAAGAAATGTTTAGAAAAGGACAACTGAAAATAAAAAAATATTTTGAAATATTTTTATAAATACATAAGTGCGGTTGAATTGCTGTATGAAAACTATGTACGAGTATCTCGAATGTGAATATATTTTGAGGCGATTATTACATACATATATTACATACTATGTATAACTGCTAGCCACAATACATGCATATATGAATAAGCAACAGTTATATAGTTGTATACTACACTCATACAGCAGCAAAAAATACAATAAGAAACAATATATAAAAATAAATTTATATAATGTACGATAAGATTTAGAATATACGTATGGTGAAAACCCAAAAAAAACTATGCAATTTTTTTCACAAATCACCTTTGGCAATCGCTTGGGGTTTAAACAATATTACGGATTCTTTCAGAATTTAATTTTTCGTTAAATTTTTGAAAACATGAAGACAATAGTGTTTATTTCATATTTTCCGAAATAGTGTATGACCATTTTTGTGCAAGGTAAAGTTTAATATTTGAAAACTTATTAAATTTAATCACTACAATCGCGTTTTATTCGCCGTATGATTACTAAACTTCACTCAGAATATTTTCAAATTAAAAAAACGCACTTTCAAATAATTTAAGTTCAAAATACCTTATCTCTTTCCGGTAAGTTTATGGATAAACACTTCAAAAAAATAAAAAGGGACATCTGCAGGTATCAAGATAGTGTAAATATATTATCTAAAATTAATATTAACATGAAACTTAAGGGAATAGTCGAAAAGACATATATGAACGGAAGATACAAGTTTTAATTTGCAGAGAGCGGGTGGTAAACTTATTGATTAATGTTTTGCGAAAACGGAAAAAATTAACAAAGTTTTCGGAAAACACCTTTTATTTGCATTAAATTCTATGACACTAAAAACGTTCAAAATTTATTTTAGGACTGGACTGAATGTTTAAAATTTATTTTTGTTGCTCATATAAAAATGAAATGAAATATAGAGTTGGGGATGTTCGGTCAAGCAAATAACAGCACCAATATTGCGACACTGTACTTTTTCTGCAGATAGTGTAACATTTTTTCGTCAAATATGACACCTTGCAGCAGTGACCGAGAGTCGAACATCCCCTTTGTTGGCAATCACTTTTGTTTGAAATTCAGTTAATAAATGATCATAAAGCTTTAATTTTGTAGTTATATTATAAATTTTAGAAAGTGATAGAGATGAAGTCATCATTTTGGGTATATTCAAGCATTTATTTGTTAAAAATGTGCTGTGCTGTAATTTTTTGTGCAAAATACTATACATTTCGATAATTTATGGCAACCAATTTTTTTGTCGTCGTTAACAATAAATTACAAAATGCAAAATTAATCTCTTTATTATCATATCTTTAAATACAAATTTTGTTTTGTTTAACTTTAGATAAAACACAAAACTTAAAAAATAAATTATTTGAAATACACAATTTTTCAGAAGTATTTCTTATGGTTATTTGCAGGAGGAGGTATTTGTTTGTTATTGGTCATGACGACAAGAAATAAATTTAAAACGCCAAATTAAAAAGAAAAAATTGCCACACATTTGCACATTTTAATAATGGTAGCTTTTACCGTACTATGTTGTATAACTTATTTATTGCTTTCGATTTCTTTATAATCTTTTGTATTTGTAATTATCACTATTGGTTTTTTAATGCTAAACATTTCACATTTTTGTTACTATTTTTTCAAAAATCAAAATTTTTATTGCTCTTTATCTTATTTTTTTTTTTAATTTCTTATTAATGCCACCGCGTTCATCTTCGGTTAGTTCGTGTACTACTCGTATGTGTATATTACTAGTATACCGAAACTCTTGTATATATGTATGTATATAATTGTACAATGCATTATACGTCGTATGTATGCATTTTTCATTCAAACCACATAAAACATAAAAAAATAACGGATAAAATTAAAAATTATGTAAAAAATGAATATGAAATGCAAACTACTTCAGGCTCGACAGATTCCTATTAAATTTAACGATTATAAAAAATCAAATGTCAAAGAATTGCAGTAGAGGACATACGTACATATACACTCACGTAAATTTACTACATAATATTAGGTAATATTAGTAATAAAAACAACAAGAACTTTAATTGAAAGTAATCACAAAAACAAGCAATGATTTTTTGTACATACATATGCAGATCGATTAGGAATAATGCGACCTCAAAGTTTTGGGATTATTCATGTACATATGTACGTATACATACGCTTATTCGATTGCAGTTATTGACATATGGAGTTGTCAGTTTTTTTTATGTTTTCAAATTTTTTGTCGTACATTATATTATATTTATAGTTAAACGCGTTTTCTTTATCAACAAGGATTAAGTAAACAGTTGAATTTCGCAGCAGAGAAGAAGTCCGTGCATGGTTGCTTTATGCATTTAACTCAATTTTACTTTCGAAGATTACTAAGATGAGATTTTATTTTATTCATATGTATATTTTTTATGCCTCTAAATTAGATTTGCTCTCTCTCGAAATCCTTGGCAAATAATGAACACCAAACTTTCACTACAATAGAAAGCAATATACACATACACACATGCACACAATCAACGTCTAAAGCGAAATTTTAACAAATTTCCAAAATGCGACTTGCACCAGATATAAGGTGAATAGTTACAATAGCGCGTTGCAAAGACAGACTGAAATATCGGGGAGGGTTATGATAGGTAGTAAAGCTGAATGAGCGTTGTTTGTGGCAGTTTAGCCGACACTAATGCCTATATTTACAAACATGCATACTTAATTGAATAACACCAACCAACAAATATATAAATTTAATAAAATGAAAAATAAGAAAACAATAAAAAAATGAAAGGCAGTAACAAACACAGTGTACACATAATGAAAAAATATAATTTTTTAGCGTAGAAAAACAAAGTAAAAATTAAAAGAAAACCATGTATTTGTAGCTTTTTCTTCCAGACCCAAGAGCAGTGTTTATTTTTATTGAAACATAAAAGTATATGAAATGCTCTTATAACAATAAGTTCAACGTTAAATAAAATTATAGTTGTTAACTAAAAACAAAAACAAACAAAAAACAAGTATGCGTGCGTTTGTGTTAGAGTAAAAAACAAAGAATATAAAATCTGAACTTATAATTTATAGGCATACATATTGATTATTTTAGTTTCTCTTTATTACTATTTATAAGTTAAAAGCCTGTGCAAGTAGAATTAATGCGGGTCAAAAGAGTTTTTAAATTACAAAATATGCAAGAGTGTGTAAAAAT